TTTAATGTTTGATTCATTTTCAATCACACCCTAAATATTTTTGCTTCTGAGTCTCTTGCTATGTTCAGATATCAGAACACTAAAATATGAAGAGCGTCATTTTTTTCAAAATATACATACAAATAAAAGTATCATATTTTACAAAAAAAACATAAAAAATGTATGATAAGTTATCGTACTAGTATGCAATTTGATTAAAAAAATCCAATGTATATGCAATTTTACTAAAAAAAATCAATATATATGTATATTTTTAAATTGAAATATTTTTATACTCCAAATAACAACATAAAAAATAGTATATTATCATTGCAAGGAAAATTTCGATGTTGCATATGGGGGCTTTTGCATCTTTAATTTCACATACACTCACATACGCTTTTGCACCTTTAATTTCACATACACTCACATAGGTGTGTGTAAATCAAAGGTGAAAAAGCATGTGGGGGCATATCGCAAGTGTGTAATTTTCATGTGGGTGAGTCACTTAGAGAGAAACTCCTCAGAGTTGCCCCCAAATTTCCCGACTACCAAGCCGGCGTTGTTCATGGTCGAATACTTCACCTTCTGGATATTTTTTTATAAATGTGGACTTAATCGATCTTGTACATCATGTCGAATATGAACTAATGGAAGGTTGTAGAGGATTTTGAGTTTTATATCGGGTATTATAACGGGGTAAAAATAGGATTTTCTGCATAGAGTGTATATATGAGTGTTTGTTTGGACGGAGCAACGGGAAAAATAGAGATTATATGGAGGATCGATCGACCCAATCATGGAACTTAAAGATAAAAAGGTTTTATATGGAAGGTCGACGTTGCGCCCTTCCATACAGGTAGAGTAACAAGATGGAGAGTGTTGGGTCATAAGGGCTCATCTGAACGACACCATGAATCATTGAAAGACTTAGATGCATGACGGTCTCATCCCTCTCAGCACAATTTTGTTGACGTGTGTTTGCGCTGACGGGGCCACCGAGGCGATGACCTTGTAATTGTGTTGTATTTCACAATTTTGTGACGGATTTTAACGTGATTGTAGCGATATCAACTAGAAATAAAGACTGTATTAATAGTAAAAAAATTAAAAAATTTAAAAGTGTATGCACCGACGATTTTTATTAATAGGATTGACTTCTCTCGGGTCTCTTTTGTATACAGGCTTTAGAAGGTTGGGAAGTACAAGAAATATAGGAAAAAACAAGGAAAGCTTAAGGAAGAAATAAACTAGTATCTAACATATAGATTAGGAATTGGGTGTAGAAAAAGATGATCTTCTAGTCTTCTAGGCCTCTGAACCTCTCTATTTATGGAATGGGAGGTCCATAAAATATTATATCATCGGGACGTATGGTGACTTCTGAATGGTTGCATGGTGAGATATATTCGGCATGTTGCAAACAATTTGCACTATTTTTTATGCAAGTGACTTATTCTTTTGGCCGGAGAAAATTGGTTCAAGCCTTCAAGGTGATACTTCTTTTCACATTAACTGAGATCGACCATGTAGAATGATCTCGTTTTTAGAGGAGGTCGACATGTTTGCCTCGTAAATGGGTACAAGGTCAACAAATCGATGGATGATCTCTTGGAGGTCATCATCTTCCTTCTCAACTAGAGTACTCTTGGGCATCCCGACTCTGGGAATGCCGCACATGCTAAACTGATTGTTATCCGCTGACTTACCAAACATAATTTTTAGTTGAACTATTATAATTTAAAACATTCCACATAAAAATTGCGGATCGCTAATAATAACCAAACATCCCCTTAACTCAAAGTACAAACCACAAAATGCTCTCCGTTGACTGCTGAGTGACCCAAACTCTGCACACCCGAAAAATAAAAAATAAAAAATAAAAAATAAAAAAAAAAAGCCCATAGGTATCACAGAACTTCCGTGCACCCCACAGTAGGCAAAACTCTCTCGTGGGTCCCACAGCAACGAAAATATGTGGCTCAGGAAAAACAGCCCTCCGCTGACGTGGCGCCCCAACTCGTCGTCGTTTATTTAGATTTGAAGGGATCAAAATCGTTTCATTCGCCATTGCCAAGTGCCAACGGAGCTCATCGGCTATCTTATTGTTATTATTATTATATTATTATTATTATTATTTTTTTTAATTTTAATTTTGGGTGTTATCGCGGAGGATGAAGGAATTGAAGGAGCCGGAGATAACCTTATTCGGTAGGAAAATTGTGCTGCCGGAGAACGGCGGCGAGGACTCCTCCGGCAAAATTGACGGCGGCGATTGCGACCTATGTGAGGAAGCGAGCGATGGAGGGAAAGGAGAGGAGGTCAAAGCCGAGGATGAAAACCGGCCGTTGATTGATGAGGTAATTTTTGGGGGGTTATGAATTTTTACGCACACAAGAAATAGTGCTTAGAAGGTTTGTGTGTTTGATGTGTGCATATGATTGTGTGTATATAGAGAAGGATTTGAAGATGCTCAAGTCAGTGAGTAAATTGGTTTTTTTTTTTTTTT